TGACACCCAGCTCTGATGATGTCAATCATATGGTGGAGGAAAGCTTAACCCGTTTTTATCCGAAACGAATTAGGAAGTTTCGGGTACTGCACCAACCTGAGCATCGTATAAAAGCTAAACGGCTGCAGTACAACGGGATTCATGCGTTCTCATCTGGTAAAATCGACCAACGAATCTCTTCTTCATGCACTTTCATACCTAATGAAATTCCCCCCAATAATGTTATCTCCAGAGATTCATCGAAACCCATTTCTATTCGTACTTAAGTATTTAGCAAAAATATGTTATGGTCTAAATTTCACATGTTTTTTTGCAAGTTGTAGCTTATTGCTATGCATATTACGTCTCACTTATTATGCTGACTACAATGCAATATAAATGTCTACGAGCTAACTAAGTCCACAGTACGTGGCTATTTATTATCATTCATACTATTGCGGACAATGCAAAATCTTCTAGATCTTGTTTACAGCACTACATCGTTTTAAAAACCACTTCGGATCCTTTGTGTGTTTTAATCTTTAAGCCATTTATATATTATCAGCCACCTAAAACTCAACGAGTTCCCTAATGACAAATTAAATCGACCAGAGCCAAATGAAAGACGCTTGTTATTGAGCTATATTTAAAGAGTCTGGAATTTGAATTAATGTAATTGTTGTCTACTCGCAACCGAACATGATCAACATATGATCATGTAATACGCGAAACAAAATTCATCATATTACCATAAAATGAATAGTGAATTTAAGCAAAATCAAAATACTTTTTCAAATGCTTTAGAAATAGTAAAACAAGCTGACTCTTAAGTAACTTATTTTTGCTTATATTGTTCGTTTATTCACAGCGGCTTACTCAGATTGGCATCATCCTGCTACACGTCATTTTCGTGACTTCCTTCTTTCATTCAGTTTCTAAGGTTTAACATTTCCCTTTCAAACACCCAGAAATGCCCCAAATGTTTGAAATTAAGCGCAAGCTTTTATCACGTTCTGATCGTGTTAAATGTCTGGACATGCATCCTGTCGAGCCCTGGATGTGTACGGCACTTTATAGTGGGACAGTTCATATTTGGAATATTGAGACTCAGAATATAATTAAGACTTTTGAGGCAGGCTCAACCCCTGTGCGTGCAGCTAAATTTATCGCCCGTAAGAACTGGATTATCTTAGGCTCAGATGATATGCAGGTAGCTAATACTTATCACTTTATCTTATTTTTATTAAGTAGAGTGTCAATTTTATTGCTATATTTGACATATCTTTTATTTGATTTTAGATACGCGTTTTTAATTATAATACTCTCGAGCGTGTCCATCAATTTGAAGCCCATTCAGACTACGTGAGATCAATTGTTGTGCATCCGACGCAGCCATTCATCCTCTCTAGCTCGGATGATATGCTTATAAAACTATGGGATTGGGATAAAAATTGGGCTTTAGCACAGGTATTTTTTACTATTCGACATTTTCTTAGATGTAATGGGTATTTATATTATCAGATGTCTCGTTTCACACGCTTGTTTGTTTATTTATTTATAGACTTTTGAAGGCCACTATCATTACGTCATGCAGTTGGTGATAAATCCAAAAGATAACAACACTTTTGCTAGCGCGTCGTTGGATAAGACTGTAAAGGTCTGGAGCTTAGGATCTTCTCATCCTAATTTTACTTTGGAGGGACACGATAAAGGAGTGAATTGCGTTGATTATTACATCAGTGGAGATAAACCATATTTGGCTAGTGGGGCTGATGATAGGACTGTAAAAATTTGGGATTATCAAACAAAGTCTTGCGTTCAAACTCTAGAGGGACACTCCCAAAATATCAGGTTAGCATCTCATGCTTCTTCATAATCGGACTGCAGCACTATTATTCTAACTTTTCTTTGATATTCATAGAGATACATATTTAGGGAAAGCTTTATTTCCTGTAATTCGCGCACAAGTGATACAAAACTTTCTTCATTCTAAAACTGATTGGTCATAGTATATATGAAGTTGAGTTGGATTTCGAGAAATCTCTTAATCCTTAATTGTTGTCCCCACCTTTTTTTCGAGTGAATATGCGGGGAAGATATACGAAGTTCGATCCCACCAGTAGACCACTGCGAATTCCTTTTAGCTAGTTGTCGATTTTTTTATTAATGCTGCTTCCGAAAATGTGAAGAATTGCTTGGTTCCATTGAATCTATTAACTGATTGATATTGGTCTATTTCATTTCGTTTGAAGAGGTGAGAGTAAGGTATTCGTATATTTCTTTATCAAAAGCCGTAGGCCTTTTCTTGGGGTTATGACTATATAGTTGTGCGAATAAGACCTCAGCTTACCTTCCCGTTACTCCGATGAATCCGTTCTGATCCTTCGTCTGTAATATTGTAGACACTGTCGGAGCAGGAAGTGACTTTACAAAATTTCACTGGGCACTAAGATAACAAAAGCGATTTGCTGGAACTTTACACCTACTTACTGCCTGATTTTGTCCACTTTATGAGATGCCTCATGATTTGCTTGGTTATTCTGTTTTCCCTACATATTTTCAGGGGAAAGAAATGGATGCAATAGCCACATATGTTTGATCCTGCAATGCCAACCAGTGTAATTATATTACATTGCACATGTGTTTGCATTCAATACTCATGAGCCGGATGAATTCTGGGTGCTAATCAGCTTCAAGGCTAATCTAGCTTATTTATCTGCGAGAATTCATGTTTCTTCTCTATCCTTTATTCTATCCAACAGCCACAGGTAGTTTCTGCTTAATTTCTTACACTAATTCCTCCTATTCAGTTTTGACCTTTTATTTATTTATATAGACTCTCTTATTCTCATACTCGTATAATCTCCATTTTCTCTTATGTATATAGATTTATACCAGTCCTTCCTATTTCTTGTGTGAGCCAGCTCTAATTTTTGAATCCATACATTTTTCACGTATTTTATCTTCAGCTGACCTTATGTATGGGTCCTTTGGTCTCTCCCATATAAAGGCCACCATATGAACGTAAAAGGTTGTAAAAACACGATCTGAAGAAAGATTTAAAAAATCCGCTAAAGACGGCATTGATGAGGGAAGTGCTATTAGCTTCCAATACGTTATTCTGATGTTTCCTTTTCTCAGTAATTGTTAAAAATTTTTGCAAGGTGACAGAATGGTACTCATTTTAATCTCTGGATGTCCATCTAATGTTAGTTTTCGTGTATGTAGCGCTGCTTACACATGCTAGGGCACGCAACTCTTAATCTAAATTTATGGCCAAGTCCTCGCCTTATTTCCACTCATCTATTAACTTAATAAATTCACAACGATTCATTATTTAAAACTGCCTGGTCCCGAAGTTTTGCCTTAATCAACGATATCAATCGTTATATATATATTATTTATTTATTTATTGATGTTACATTTCCCCAGTTCTCCACTTGTTACAAAATATTACAAGCAACTCCTCATTCAAATTACGTTTTCTGTAGGGGCATTGGTGATGATCTGGTGTCTTTCAATATCACCTATTTGCATTATTTTTATTCCAAAGCGACCCTATCCGTGATAACAATTGCTCATTTATCCACCTCATCACTATGTTTCTGGTC